GCGAGATACGGACAATAGACCGCCTGTAAGCTTCAGTGCGTGTCTTGATAAGTTTATGAGTGGAACGGGTGGATGAGTGAGAAAGACACTGACCAAGAGCGAAATAAAGAGGATGGGAAATATCAAGTAAAATTTTGTTGGAGAATGTTTTACAGGACTTGAGGTGATGTGTCACTACGTACTGCACCAGATGTTCCCGTGGTATGAGACTATAAACTGACAGAAATTTGAGGGATCGGGGAAGGAGTTTGAAGACCTTGTTAAAAAGACCAGTGACAACAGTGAAAAGAAAAGAACTCTTCATAAAACTACCTTTTAAAAGAGATTACAAATCTGAGTTACTGAGACGCCGGTTAGAAAAGGCTTTCGCTCGCGCTTTCCCTGCTGCAATCCTACACACTCAATTCACAAACCGGCGACTGGTTTCCGTAAATATTAAAGATACAATGCCTATCCTCTCCTCCTCTATGATTATTTACCACTTTCTTTGCTCATGTTCAGCAAGTTATGTCGGAAGAACGATCGAGCAATTGTCTCAAAGAATCAAGGAGCACAAACCGGCGTTGCTGAGCACGGGAATAAGGAAAACGATTACAAGTGCGATGGTAGAACACCTTGCAGACACAGGGCATCAAGCAAACGACGATACTTTCAAAGTGATCTACAAAGTTTCAGCAAACCCGTCAAAAGCTGTTCGTCAACGACACCTTGCTGCAGTCGAGGCTGTGGCTATTCGCCTACTCAGACCGTCTTTTTGTTCGCAAAAACGATTCGTCCAGTCAATTCGTTTAGCCTGGCCTCAACCTGACACAGCCGACCGGAACCACCGCGACCTTTGTTATGATCCAGGGGCGCAGAAATGGAACAGCTCACTCTATCCACCGACTGTGAACATTTCCGAACCACACAACAACAACACTGCCCTCACATTTCCAAACCACACATCACATGATCACAATCAACCAATCATATTCATCACATCTGACCATTACACTAAATTGATAAGTTTGAACCCTATATATAATTGTATTAGCCCGAGGAGGAAGTTATCGAAAACAAGCTTCGTTCGCTACAGTGTTTTCTTAATGTCACAATGTACAGGTGAAGATCAACCTCGCCCCATCATCTTGGGCCGTGGCGTGTAAGAGAGCCCTGCATTTTAATTTTTTATCACATGATGTCAAGGCTCATACCACTAGAGAACTTGTAACGGCTCAAACCCGAAAATGAGAGGAGGTTTAGGAGTTTCTTAAATGGACACACGGATACAATTCTTTATAGCCCGTGTTCACCGAGGAAGGTAGGGTTTATCGGGGTAACTCTCTTAATCTCTACCTACCCCTCTTACTTTTCTACTCAATTATCTTATGACTAGGAAAAACAGCCATGTCTCCTTACGAGAATGGCAGTGTCAATATGAACCACATTACCATCGGGTTGGCATATGATGTCAATGCAGTAAGGGAATGAACAAAAGCTACCCGTGTTCAAGCAGCATCATTTAGGCCAAATTGCTCGCGTCTGATAGGACAACCGAACAAAAAAATGCCAAAGTTATGCGTAATACATTGCGATGACACCATCTTTCACATCACCTTGTCTATCTCGCCCTCTCCGCGTCCAAGATATCACGGGGATAAATCTTCTCTGACCCTCTTTGCGAACGGATTGGATAACTTTCTGCGATTTGTGCAACGCGTAATCCATCAACCTGATACGGGTCTGTCTGGTCACCGGCTCATCATATTGGTGATACTGCTGTTGTTTTCCGGTGTCCGGCAGTGGAATGATGATACTCCCGCCGTGCACAGCCGAAGTTTCCCGGTCATTCAGAAAGCGTTCGGGGTGAGTGGCTCGTACTAGCTCGGTAAGCACCGAGACCCTTATTGCAACTGGTCCATTCGACCTGCCAATGAATCATGACCATGTGCTCACCGACCTCATGGAAGCAAAAAATTATAGATTCTGTTGGGCTCAAGCTTTAGCAGAGATTCACTACTGAAGAACAAGTTATGCACCGTTTGGGAACTACGAAATGGGAAATGTTTCTGTTTCTGAAGACATTATACCGACACTGGACTGGTCTCAGATACAGTCGGGCATCACTGATTACACATTCTCTTCGTTCCGACCTATCTGCCTTTCGCTTCCATACTACTACTACTACTACTACTTCTACTAGATTGAGTTTTCGACAAGTTCCCGTAAGAACTGACATTTATAGGAATTCCCTTGTTCCATATTTGGAGCATACCATTACTGACATTAGCGTTAGTTGATTTGCGAATGAAATTTTTCGGTTGAATGAGCTCTCAGTCGGTACTCCACCGTGATAATTCTCGTCTGAAGTTGGAGCATAACACGATCCATAACTTTTGCTCCCATGACGGTCGACAAACATACAATCGATCGGGTTGATTCATTGGCAGGTCGAATGGACCAGTTGCAATAAGGGTCTCGGTGCTTACCGAGCTAGTACGAGCCACTCACCCCGAACGCTTTCTGAATGACCGGGAAACTTCGGCTGTGCACGGCGGGAGTATCATCATTCCACTGCCGGACACCGGAAAACAACAGCAGTATCACCAATATGATGAGCCGGTGACCAGACAGACCCGTATCAGGTTGATGGATTACGCGTTGCACAAATCGCAGAAAGTTATCCAATCCGTTCGCAAAGAGGGTCAGAGAAGATTTATCCCCGTGATATCATGGACGCGGAGAAAGAGGAATAAAACCATGTGAAACGATGAAGCAATAGCACTGCTATGTCTTGCCATCCACGTCGCCATTTGTTATGTCTTACCCAGAAGTATAATCGACGTGTGCACCTCTTGACTAGGCCCCAACAATTGGAGAGAGATCACGGCTGGAAGAACGACAGTCAGAGTATATTATTGAGCACGAAGAAATGCTTAAATATGTGGCAAATTGAGCGTACGAGAACGACGTAATGACGCACCAATTAGTTCACAACCTTAATACTCTGATCGGTCGATCGGACGACAGCTGTCTGATTCGCCTTAGTCATCCAATGCCGAATCGATTCGGCTTGGGCGTCACGTATGCATTTGTGGTGTGACNGTGACGCGTGATACATGGCCGGACGATTTCTGTGCGCTCTGTCCTGACACAATAAGTCATTTTTAGACCACCTGGTTGGGGACCTTATGATTAACCTAGATGTGTTTGTGGCACTCAATGAAATGATTGAATATCGTCACGGCAACAGTCCGGTATCTCTCCTCGAATTTTGTACCCAAACTTGGTTTACTTGCATACCGTATCTACATATTGGTGCTTTTGTCTGCTCTTTCACCTGTTCTATTGTCCAACCCAACGGGTTGCTCAAAATCAATAAACGGGTCCGGCACACGAAACGGTTGAGGTTAGTATGTGCGATTTGATTCCCAAACACCCAAACTGGTCCCAACAGATTGATTGTATGTCAAAAGTGCCACCAAGCAAACCACCTGGGGAAAAGAAATTTTTATAAAGGAATCAATCACGTGATAGTATTTGGTGTGATGTGGAACCAACCGTAGGAACCAGTCAGAGTGGCGAACTGCCAATATACAGAACTCGCAAGCTTGTATTTCCACGTTCAATTAGCCACTAGACTAGTAGATATGCACAGTTGACAATAGCTCTTTATTGCCTGCAAGGTGTTTCCCTGATGTGTCAGACATCCACATTGCAGGATGAAATATTTTCAAATATTATTACTACTATTATTTTTATGATTATCATTACTATTATTGATATTTGTGAAACTCCGATCATTTTTTGTGTTTTTGTCATCCTTAATGGATTCACCTCCAAGAAACGTTCGCTTACATGTTAGGTAGACACAGACACACGAGCACACACACAAAAGGAAGCAACATCGGTGCCAAAGTTCTATGATCACGAGTGTAACGGGAGCAGATTTTCACTCCATATTAGGCGTGCAAACACCGGTACTGGGAGACATGTAAATACGTGATTTCGCATACAGCGTACACGAAGCACAGTCTGAACTCGAACGCGACAATTCCGTTTTTCCACTACCCGATATAAATATCAGCTTTTGGTAGACGTATGGTAGTTGCGTTTGTTTGTATTCCAGGTTTCGGGAGTTGGAGATCATAATGTTTTTTACAGGTATACTCGAATTCAGAACAGTAATCACACCGGCTTATCCAATTGGAACTGATGAAAGAGTGAGAGAGAGAGAGAGTGGGTGGGTGTGGGATAGACGACTCATAGCGTAGCGAAGCTGCTTCCACAAAACACATACACACAAAAGAAGAAACACTACCGGATAGTTCGCATGAAAGGCATGGAAGGCGCGCTGAGGGTTTTCACATGACCACCGGCGGACCGTGCAGGTTCTAACCGAGGCGGGGGACTATAAGAAGCAGTGCAAACAGAATCACGTTGCAGCACAAAAGCACGCATGCCCTCAACCGAAATGCACACATGCGTTTGCTCAGTTCTCGTCCCATGGATCACACCCAGTAAGTCATGAAGGACATTTGTTCGAATACATGAAAATCTTCAATAGTTGGCATCTATCTATGATGAAAGCGGATAAAAATGTGAGCAACCAAAGGTTCATAAATACCGGTTGACAATCAGTAAATTTATTCCCATTTGAGCTCTCTAGTCAAGTTGCAGGTCGAATTACTTATAATGATGGTGATACTAATAGTGATCACAGTAGGGTCGTACGCCGTTTCGTTAAAGTCTATCGATCACAGGTTGTTCACGGAGTATCGCTAGCGATGATTACTGGGAGATGACAGCACTGATCTTAATGCACACCAGTGCATTTAGTCACTGTCATGACAGCAACACTAGTCAGCTAATTCTCTGGCATTTATTGCATTGCTTTACGTTTGCTTTTATCTACGACCGGTATCACCATTTTTGTTTTATTCTTTACATTGTAGTATTATTTTGGTTGGCCGCGGTGGCAGACGGTAAGCTGATTTGTTTATTTCAAATTAGTGATCGCAATGAATGGTAAGCAATGATTAGCCTAACTCTTACAGTATACATCAAGATGAAATTAACTGAAACCGAAAAGCATTGTCTTTCTGATAAATCCCGTATTCGCACACCACGAAAACATAGTGAACTACTTTTGCGAAACAGAATATTTTCAATAAAATTCCATGAAACAGGCGTTTCATTTAAGTTCATTCAAAATGGCCATTGTAATCCATCTGTTTCCCTTTGATCTTCAATAAGACCAGTCAATTATTGTAATTACTGCTAGTTTTTACTAATAGTATAACTATCCACAATCGCATATATCCTCATTTGAAATGAGAAGACCTGGATTTACAAACTGATCAATGTTCATCCCTGTCATCCAGATTAATTCCTACTTCCTATCTGAGTTCAGTACTAGCCACGTTTTCCGGGGTTCAACTAATTCAGGAAGGACTTTTGGTTGTGAGGTGAACCTTTTACTGTTTATCTTAAATAAACTGATTGCAAATTAGCTTTTACGCATATCAAGGATGAGTGGAATGGATATTTCCGCGCAAGTGCCGTAAGCTGGAAGAAGGATATTACTAGGTGAGCATGTATAGAGTAGTTTACAAACACAACGAATCACCGTTACTCATCGAAAGACTTGATCTGGTAATGATCACGTGGTAAAACAACAATAACTTGCTGGACCGATATGCGAATCGAAAACAATGGAAAAGTTTACCTACACAACACATCCTAATCCTACTCCAAGCGATTACACAAGATGAATTTTTGATTCACATTCACAGCCGGTTGACGGATAGCGTCTGGAAATATGTGAACAATTAGTTGTATCTAGATACCGACAAATGCGATGAAATTTATTGGCTCAGAACTGCAAAACATAACCCAGGCATGGAGATTTCGGTGCGCCACGTGGATGTTGACGTTTTCCGGCAGCATGAAAACACAACCCGTGGTGTAAATTCAAATAGATTCCAGGCTAGAAATGAACTGAGAATTATGACACCTCCAGTTTACCAACCGACGGAACAATCCAGCCACAATGGGCACAGGGAAGTATAGTAAGCAAGGAAAAAGTGTGCTACGGAATGTATGCCATGAAAGCCCGGAAACGCGGTTATTGTTTTTATCCTCAGTTGCGTTCTGATGAGTTTGCCAGTATGGGCAAATCAGAAAGGTAGAACCTATCGGTTGATCTGACGCACACTGTTCAATCAGTCAGTTGAGACCGGAAGCTCATCCAGGTTACATTTTTTGTCTCTTGGATTTTTCTCCCAAAATTATGAGTTTTTCAACCTTTCTTCCTTCTCGATTGGGACAAACAAGAAAGATTTTCTGCTGGCAAGCAGGAATCAGAATAGGATGTTTTTACGCAAATGATGAACAATTAATTGGTGTTTATTGTCTTGCAAATGTGTCTCTTTTTCGTGATCAACTGGTTTTCGGGCCGGCTGTGCCTAGTCACGGATGTAAGCTTGCCTGACTCGAAAGAACCAACCGACGCTAGTCACAGAGGCTTATCTAACCCATAATGTGTGTTAGAACACCGCACCCTTTATGCTGTGTATACTCTGCGCGACTGGTAGTCGGTATCTACAGACCAACATTACCAATCTATTCGGAGACGGGGCATGGATTTGATCCTCATTGCGGTTCTTCAATTATGCCATAATTGATCGAACTATGCAGTGCTAGAACATCGGCATCCGGTTTTTCATCGTAATAGCTCAGGTATAACCCAGCACGGAACAAAAATTTCTTTTAAGTTATTGTGAATGTTCTCTTTTGGACCTTATCTGTTCTCCTGTCTATTCCAGGAGATCAAAAGCCGTCACATTTGGTTCACGTGACATTGTGGATGCGAACAAAGATACCGAACAGACAATGGATTGCGAACTGTTCTACGCATCCGGATGAGGCCAAACAAACATTGCGGAACGTGGTACGTGTTCAACTGAACCTCGGTGACCTTGTGGCAAGTAGAACAAAACTAACCACAGACCCGCATAGTAACATATCCTATCCTGCTCACTCATGTGATAAACTCATTACTCATTAACGCTGGCAATTAGAGGTCAATGAAATTCATATGATGATCACCATAATCCTATTGTCGAGGCAATGTTATTGTCTGATAAGGGTATACGAGAGATTTTTCTGACCAATCACGTCGAGGCATTGACCTGGCACAGCGAAGAAGCAAAACAATGCGTTCGCAAATTTCAAAGTCCTTGAATTATCATACATATAAAAACTTGTATATTTTAGTTAAGTTACGTTAAGTTAGATTGTAAAATCGCCTTGATAAAGGTTACCCACGGCAACCGAAAAGTCGGCTTATTTTCACCTGTACCGAAATCGCTGTTTTCAAAATTACAACTTATATAAAAGTTAAGGCAATGACCAAAATATACGCGTTGTACGAAGCTCAGTTAGAGACAGAGAGGGAAAAGCTTGTACAGCAGTGTTATACGTGAGTTTTCGATGATGTAAAAATGAGGTGCTCAAGGCGATATGCCTGATTTCTAGAAGCACCACCCAGACATCTGTGCTTTTCATTGTGAATTGCTTCTGCACGTGATCACAAGTTCAGATCAGATGGATAAAAGATACAGAACTCTACCAGAATGTCTTTATTTGTATCTGGTAAAGGAGGTTTTTCATAAGAAATCATTTCAAAGAATTACTCTAACCATTATACTTTCATAACTAGTCATTTTCCCAGCCCAATCAGCCTTAAATTGTTGAATCAACTATTCGATTCTGTGGTGTACAGAGCACGTGAGGCGTAGAAGTGGAAAAGTACGAAGCACAGATATACAGTTTTTTTGAGCTAATTACATCTCATCAGCAGTGAGCAAACCCATCGACTCAACGGAGGAACTTGAACCCCGGGACCTCCCCGGTGAAACGCAAGCATATCACCCACTGGATCATCAGACAATTGATAAGACTGATTTTCTTGTTCCCTATACGCGGCATAGCACATCTCATCTTTGCAAAGCTTGTGGCGGGCCTGGCACTTCGCTCAGTTCACTACTAGCATCCAGGGTTATGACTCAGTTGGAAACTAACTGTACAATTGAATCACATTTCGGTCATATTCTATCTGATTTTTCTAACCTCTGAATCGTTGTAATAGAATCAGTATGGCGATTTCTCATTATTTCAACTCCTGATAAAATTCATATCCAAATACAGCTTTGCGAGAATAAGGTTGTCTCGTTTGTGCATAACTGATAAGCGGCCAGAATCGTAAAATTAATTAGGAAAGATCGACTATCATTCATCGACTGTTTCTTATCATAAAAGCAGAAAAAAAACCGTTTCCGGCCGATATAAATGGTGAATTTTCCAGGTTTATCGGACTGTGCATGCTAGTGACAAAATAGTTGCAATAGACGGAGGATCTGTAAATCCCCGAAGTATATTCCGAACTCTGGATAGTTCAAGGATGATTTCATATTGAGTGAAAAGAAAAATGGTAGGCATTAAGGACGGGACAGAAAAGTGGAGTNATCCATCAACAGTTTGACTATACTGTTATTTAACTATCTATTGTTGTTATTCTGATTCAAGGCAAGCATAATAATTTGAACTGCAATCATTTTCAATTACCCGAGTAGGCTAACCATGAGCAGAATGATTTGTTGTCCTAGGTAGATGAAACGGCTAGAGTTATTTGAAATGTGACTCGCGTGACGATGATCAACGGATTCTAAAATGCTAATCAATATTAAATTCCATTTCAAATACATTCTAAGAAAGGCATAACTTTGTAGCGTTCCGGTTGGATATGCAGTGAATTAGGTGATTCGTTTATACGCATCGTGTGCTCACACACTTAGCCGGTTTATGGCGCAGTGAGCAAGCGAGAACATCAACACACCGGGGGATTGCAACATCGAATACACAAACTGGCGGAAACGCTACATGTCACCAGAGTTTGATCAAACAGGTAGTCAAGCAGACAAAGAATCTACAAGGATCAAGGACAGTTCATTACCGGCATGTGACATCGATCTGGAAATCGAGTAGCTCTGCCTGACGAGCATACGAGATAGGCGTGCACGTGTGGTAGTAGGCCGCATCGAACAACCCATCAATTATGCTATGGTTCTGTGCGGTAAACATTTCAGTCAACTGCATGTCACAACAAACTTAACTGCAACAATGCACCCAGCCAGTTGGTCTAATTCATTCATTTTAGTCAACGGGATAGAAGATTCGACTCAGCTTTGAGTCCAACAGAATCTCTGTATGACCATGAACAAGCACTAGATACATATCTTGATCATGCTGATATATGTCAGTGGCACATACCATGCTATACCTGACAGGACCCGAGAAAAGGACCTGTAAACGGAGGGAAGAAACCCAGATGTTTGAGATATATGGCCGACTGAGGTACTTTGAGCGAGCGGTCATTTAACTACGGAATTTGATTATAGAAATAGCAGTAGCAGTAGATTCTGCATTTGTTTTTATTGTTGTTGGTGTTGATATTGTTGATTATGTGCTTCGTTCCTCAGAAATTCCACAAAATCCCCCAACGGGTTTTGTTGATTTTGATTTATCGGTAAACTTTTAATTGCCTACAACTTGTGTAGCAGGTCGAATAGCAATATGCATCTAGACTAATAATTCTCTAGATGTCATCCTTCTAAGTTCCATAATTGTGTGAAGTTCTCTTAATCCTGTCTTCCTTTGTGTGGGAGGCCTTATTCTATTATCAGTATCTGTTGGGAGTTGATAAGTGGCATAGTGTTTCATCTTTCCAAGCAGAATGAGCCATAGTTCGAATCCGGATTTTTGGCCGAACGTGGAAAATTGGTGAGTATTTACAGGCGCGAAGTTCTCATCTAGTGCTTACGGTCATTTAAATTAAAGGTTGTACACGAATATGAAATCGCATGAACGAGTAGCCCCTAACCGCTGACCTAATTCCAACCCTGACTGAGGAGTATGATCTGTCGGACAGAACGAGCCGGAGTTGGTTGCCGTTGCAGTTGAATAGCAAGTTACATATCACGGTTTGAGTGCTTTCCTTTATTGGGATAAAAGAAACCATGAAAATCAGCAAAAACCGAAACACATTTTCGGTGGGAAGCTAGATTACAAAACAAAACTCGATGTGAACGCATTTTCGTCCACGAACTCGGACGACATTGTTTTTTGCACAGCAGCACAAATCCCTTCACACGACTTTCCTCGTTTTTGTTCTCGATCCTGATCCAATCTACAGATTATTTTCGCTTTACAATCCACGGCGCTAGCGCAATCGTTTCGAGACGCCCACTGCTTGCATAACGATATGCATAACGAATTTCCCGCCATCTTGGTCACCTTAGAATTCGATGCGGAGAGCTATGTCGGATTCGATCATCCAGTTGGTCACACACCGGAACGTTACTTTGGTCATCTGATTCGGCCGGGATTACAAAAACAGTCATACGGCTGTCGTGTGTTGTGTAAGTTATTATTGATTTCTATGGGAATTGATAGAATGAATTTGCTTTTCACCCTAAATAATGACCAATTGATTGCGAACATTTTAACTTAAATATTGCTCGTTTTCCCACATAATTCCAATCCGGTTGGTGTTTTTATTGATCAGATAGATGACCTTGATTTGGTTTGGAGGTAAAGATAACTTGGCCGAGCGATAACAGGTTACATCCCACCGGTTGGAGCGCATCGATTGGAAAGGACAATAAAACTCACTGTCACGGTCGATTGGGCAAGTTAACGCTAGAACGTCGAAGATGTCCGTGAGGAAACATAATCGGGGCTATTCGATGAACAAACGAATGTATCGCATAGTGTTGATCCCATCCAGGTGCAGCCAGATCAAGAGGGTGCCGATCTGAGGTGGAATCGCTGTGTGCACAAATTATATATTGATATATGTGTGTCTAGAAAACATGTTAGAAGTCGCTGTACTATTTGTGTGAAGATGTTACCGTCCATCCGATTGGTCTAATTTGAGCCGGAATTACTTCACTTTCCAACCGTGGATGTAGCGAAATAAGAGCAACCAGGCAGTTTTAATTTTAATTTGAAGAGAGCACAAAAAAGCTAGGTTGTAACATGGAAACATGAAACGTCGATCAGTGTTGTACGTATGCGACCGATGAGAGCATACGAAAGGGATTCCTCTCCCAGTGTTTCTCTTCAGACTCGCCTCATCGAATTCATTACTGGAACCAAATCCTAAAGTTTAAATCGTTGAACGGTTTCCCACCAATGAGCTTCTTGGGTAGGGTCACAGAATCAATTGCCGTTGAAAATGAGAACCTGGTCTGCATGGCCAAAAAGGACTGTCAGTCTTTGTTGATTCTTCTCCTCAGATTCACTTTGTGTTCCTTCGACTCATTGCCCACTCCGTCCCTTCCTATTTGTCCCGTTGACATTCGTTTCGTTCTGGTTATCGAATTCTTACATAATCAAGCGAGTACATAGTTCTCCCAGTCTCTGACACCTCAATCGACATGCAGACACGCACACCGATCACTCGTATGACTTCAACCACACGAGGTCTCTTGTGACCTCCATTGTCTCTTACTATCGGTTGACCTATGTTCCGTCTACCCTTGTTCTGTACCGGTTCACCGCTTATCATTTATCGACTATTTAACCACCCAC